TTTTAGAGTTTCTAAAAAGCTGGTTTTCTAGAAAACCACTCTCTGGAGGTCTAGCAGCACGTCTCATGTTGATATTCGGAATCAGCATGGTCGACTACCTATAGTCCACTACGTTTCGGCTCGAAAGCGATCGGACAGTTGGGGACCTTCCCTCGTCAGTTGAGAGGATAATGATACTATAAAACTCTCCAATTCTGAGATTCGGGCATTCTGACATTCGAAGTATTTCTCAATTCTGAGAGTGGTGTTACTCCAAACCTTCGAGATTCAGCAATTCTAAAATTCTGTGTATCATATGACCGAGTCTATGACTATGCTTCAGTCCATAGCAGGTATCCGAAAGCGACATATTGAGCTGTTAGTGTCTCGGTACCAACATATTTTTAAAATTTTTTCTTTTTTAAATTTTTTCGAATTTTATGGCTGCTTACGAAAATTCATTCGAGTATTTTCAACGTTCTTTTGCTGTTTTGAAATCAAACTTACTTCTTCTCTTTTCGTACACTGATGCTTGCCTAAATTAAGCCAGAGATCTTCTACAGTTACTTCACTGATCAATTATTAAAACAAGAAAATATTGTATCTGTATTAGTTTGAGTGCTCTGCCCATGTCGCGCATTTGTTGAGAATACCGGCGGTTCAACGAAATACCATCGATTGGACCGAACCGCTCCGTATACTTTGCGGTTTAGCGACGGTTTTTTCTTCTACTGGAGGTTACCGCACGGTAGTTTTCAGACCGCAGTACAAGAAAAAACCGTCGTTAAACCGTTTTGACACAATCACCTTTTTGTTTTGCGGTTGTCAGTCTATATAAGAAATGCAGAAAAGTAAAAAAACTTTGATTTTCTTCAGATTAAACTTTCTCTTTCAGATTATAGAGACTCGTCGAAGTTTGCACTTTGACTTGAGCCAAGTTTTTCCCGTTTGGAAACCGTATTGCGCTGCATGCGCACGGCAAAAAAAAGAAAGCTGAGAACTAGATTCGAACTCCTGTACTGTTTGCTCACACTGAGAAAATACCGGTTGATACTGCTGGTACAACCGGCCGGTATACCGCGCGGTTCGGCAGACCGTGCGGTACCTTAGGTTGATCTTCCATTATACTCGGCGATGACCGTTGCGGTAACCAGCGATATTTTAGCGGTTCTGATGACATGGGTGCTTTTGTGCAATTTCGTAGTTTCGTTTTTCTACACTTTGATTTGTTCTGGTCAGCTTTGACACTGACTATATGTTTACATTTGACAAATAAACACACATATACACAATTCTAAAATTCTGATATTCTGAAATCATAAAGATTTTCGAATTTAAACACGAATTGATGGTAAACTTCTGAGACTCTGCGATTCCAAAATACTGCAATTATGAAATTCTAAAGATTTCTCAAATCCAAAAATGCTGTTACTCGAAAGTTTTAACATTTTAAACATTTCTCAATTCTTATTTTGTATGCTCCTTCGAATGAGACATGAATAAAATAAAATAAATTCACCTCCGGGCAGTAAGCTCGGTGCCGAAGAGGGGTTTCTCTTCACCACAACAAGTGAATACTCTGAAAGAATTTCCAATAAAATAGTCCTTCTTTTGTCACTTTCTCAGAGCGTGCAAAGATAAAAGTAAATACCCGTGAAGAAGGAATTTTTCATGCAATACATCATTCGATGCACTGTGAAAAGCTCTGCAATATATGTTGATAGTAAAGTTAACGAAGCCTAAGAGTAAGTTTTATAAGCTTACTGCAAGGCTTTTTCATAGATCGCGATTATGCCAACCAACGTATCAGAAGCGTTAAGACGATCAATGTTGACGGTTCTTAACAGTTGACATTGATCAACGTCAGCTTCTCACGGATGTTGACCTTGTGAACGGTTGAACGTAACTAATTTCCATTTTATCGGCAAATGTTATATATATTCGGCATGGTTATCATCTCATAAGCTGAAGACAAGGTTGTACATCGTCATTTAGCACAGTAATATTCTGACCGCTATGGAACTATCGGGTGACGCAGAATACATTAGACTGTTTGTATTTTCAAGATTTCTCCTCTTCCTTACACTTGATTGAGCTGATTTTTTTTCCAAAAGATTTGCTGTTGAATTCTCTACAAGAAATGTATGGACTGTTTGATTGCAAAATCCGAAGGTGAAAAATGCCATGAGAAATGGGGAAAAGTACTAAAATGTTGAAAAAATAAACGTATCTTCTCTAAGAGAGCGAAGTCTTTTTTAAATGGATTCACAAGCATTAAAACACGGTTTCAGTGTATTTTTGTGCAGTTTCAAATACGCTCTTTCTCGTCGTGTAGAACGAAAATCGTTTGAATCTAAATACCTGGTGCAAAGATTAATTTCTCAGCAATCCAGTGAAAATAGCAAAATGTTGTTACCAGTTTTTGCGTAATGAAATAAAACAAAGTTTTTTTGAAATCTTAGAGATGCGATCTTAACGACTAATGATCGGCCAGAGTTGGTTCTAAGGCTGAGCTTAACTCTGAGATAATATATTGTTTCCAAAAATGTAGGTGAAACAGTGCAGATTCCGAACATCTATACCTAATAACTTATCATATAGTGCAAAATGCAAAAAAATTTTGTCGGCGACGCACAGCGGGCATCCAAGCGGAAATTTGGCGAAAAATCGAAATTTCTCGTTTTTCAAATATAAATAGTGCATAATATAGCTCTTGAAATTCTCGACCGAATGGTGTATAAATGTCTATTTTGATATCCAATCTTTCGAGGAGACACCGGGCCACAAGAGGTGCATAACAGATATCACGGAAAGTGACACATACGCATGAAATCTTGATTATTTGTTCGCTTAGCTATGTTAAACGATTCAAAAGCACATATTGGGAATCTTCAGATCCTCAGCTATCTACGGATATCAAAATATGGATACTTCAAAACAGAATTCTATAAAGAACGTTGTATGGAATTTGTTTAGAGCCAGTTCGGGATGAGATCAACTCAGTATAATGAAATCGCTAAAAAACGCTACAGTCAAATCGACCTTCTAATTATATTAAAATATTCTCCAGCACCTACTCTACTTATACTGCATGCGACTTTATGCGACTTTTCGAATATCAGTCGAAATATCAGTTTTCTAAAACCCATACGGTTTTCGGGGTATTTCATGATTTTCTCGCTTATAAATGCACTTCCCTTCAAATATAATACCATATTCAGAATCAGCGTGAAGAACTGCATCTAATGAATTATGTATTCGACTACATCTAACGAAACAGAATTCTCTCACTCACGACATGGACTACGAGTCCGCAATGACCTTAAACTAGGTTAATGATGTACGGTAATGGCTCTGGTTATGGAATATGGACAGAAACTACAACAAAAATGAGGATCGGCTTCGTGCCACAACTTCTCCCTGGACATGTCAAATAGTAGTGGATGAATGAAGGTACAGTTGTGAGTCTAATTCAAAGGGTTCTTCGGATCACCCCCCTCTGGCTCTGCACACGGTGCAGAGCAGCCGCTAGATCCTCCTGCCGAGGCCGAGTTCATCTGCTACTATTATTTGAATGTACTTGGACTCCCACTCTGCGCGAGGTGGCTTGCTGAGAAGCGCAGGAGGTCAAGGAGGCTCGAAAAACAGTCCACCAAGGTAGTCCCAAGAAATAACGGGATAGAGCTGAGACTTCTAGGACAAATGGATCGGTCGGAATAGCCAGGCTTCGAGACCTCGCGTCGATCCCTTTGGTCTGATCGGTTCGTCTGTCTGAGAGACAATTTAAAAACGTACACTTGGGCGGGTGTGCTTGATACCAGGGCCCGAATTTGGGAGTACCGTGGATGTTTTTAGCCAACCGATTGTTAACGGTACGTTGTTGACATACCACGGCCCTGGTTTTTGTCTCTACGCCTTGTTTTCCTGCACATGGGTGCCAAAGTACAACCCACTTCTTCCTTTCTTTCCCACAACGAAATGACCATAGATCAGTTCTTTACGATATATCACGTCGAATGCGAAAAGCACAGGAAAAAGTTTTCCAGTATTTCAATATCCAAACAACCGAAGGCAACAAAGAAATTTTTCAGTCCAAACACCATTCTTATACACTGAAAAACAAAGCCAAATATGAAGATTGGAGAAAGAACCGAAATCATCTGACGTACAAAGAAAATTTTCTACCATTGCCATACACAAAAACGACTTTCCTGATTTAAAACCAAGAGCAGAAAGACCGAAAACACCAAAGCGAACTTCAAGGGATTTTAGTGAAGTTGGTAGTAGGCAAAAGTGGAATAAACTGAGTGATCTCAATAGTGAACTGGACAAATTCGCCACAGACAATCACATCACTTCCAATCAAGTTTTAGGCTACCTTCTATATCAAAGAAATTACCTGACCAACAAATATCTTGCCAAAATCGGAGATGAACTATACAAAAAGGAGGACGCAGAAGAACTAACACGAACACAGTTAAGTGTTGATCGAGCGCTGGCGCTGAAAACTCACATCAGTCTAAGTCGAAGTGATCTCGATTTTGTCAAACAATTTCAAAGAGAATTTGTACATATTTTTAACAGAAACATTTTACGAGAACACTCACAAAAACTACTCCCTCAAATTACTGAATGCCGAGAAAGAAGCAGCTCATTGAAATGAATATTACAGTCGCATCAAAATTGATCTACAAACATAAGACTGGTCATGATGGAGCTGGAAGTCAGTCTGTTTATCGAGCTTTGGACAATCCTATGAACGATCCAAACATCTTCTCAAAGATGTTCATGCCACTCTCTCTAACCGATGCACAGACAGAACTAATCTTGTGGAGAAACGAGACTCCTAATAGCGCATTCTACACGCGACCGTTGGCACTTATCGCTGAGAAGGAGAGTTTGGACTTGATTCGGTTTATAAATGAAACTTTCGAGCCTCAAGGACAAAAACTTCGTGATAAAAGCATTGAAGTGAAGCATGGGATAAGAAGTATGACTTTTCATTCATCATCGAAGACAGTATGAAAGATCTCAAGATGCGAACGATGGAATCTGGACTTGGTGGCGCAGATTGTTTAATGTGCTATACCCGTCAGACCGATTGGAAAAATGCTGATAAAATACGGGATAAAAATGCATTTCAAATAACTCGTACGGCTGAAAAAACGATGAAGTTGTACGAAGAAATGACGAAGGGGAGTGGAGAGATTAAAAAAGCAAGAAATGACTACGGCGCGCGAGCAGGTCTTACCGCCGAACCAATATCTGCTAGTGACCATCACTACTTGACTTTAACCCATCAGTATATCAATGGTACTCATTGGTTTCTCAATATCCTTTACAGACTTACAGCGAATATTCTCACATGGGCTGACAAATTATTATAAACAGCCAGAACATATCTTGTGTTACTCAGAATTGTATGCTCTATCAGGCTATGTGGCTTGAAAAATTTTCTGACAAAAGAACAAGGATTTGGTTTTCCAGCGGACAGGTTTTCCAGAACCCTATTATCAACTTTTCTCATTAAACGACAATATGCACCACATCTAATAGAAAAATGTTCGGGCTATTCAAAACAGTATTTAGATTGGTTTCAGCTGTTGCCAAAATATCAAAAAGAAAGGAGT